ATATATATATATATATATATATATATATATATATATATATATATATATATAAGGTCAGACTCTTTTGCGAACCGATATTTTCCCGCGAACCACTCTTAAAATGATTACATAAAAGTTCAATTGAGAAAATAAAATAGGTTCAGAATGGAAGAATTATTCCCAGTCAATCATTTCTATTTGCCGCAAAACGTTCAGTCGCACGGACACAATGAATGATGAATAATATTCATATACGAATATAAATATAAGTGTATTCATATATAAATCTACCACCTCCTCTCCGCCACCACTTACCACCGCCACCTCCACCAACTTCCGTCACCAACCACCACCAACTACCACAACCTTCGCGACCAACCACCGCCGCCGTATTGATATATGAATAATCACTTCCGCTATACTTATTTATATATGAATATACGTATTCATATATATTCATATATGAATATGATCTGTTCCGTTGGACCCGTATGCTGGAGCGCTTAAACGACATATTCAAAATGAGTGGCCCATATTCATTCTCTCATTCTCTCATTCTCAACCTTTTTTTTTGTTTTCAATTGGTCCATGTGGTTTTCAAAAATTTAAAGTTTGGTCCCTAAGTTCTAAAACCTCACAGATGGTCTTTGTGGTTTCAAAACTTTTAACGAACGGTCATTTGAGCTAATCTGTTAGATTTTGGCTGTTAACTATTATTTGATTATAATATTCAGACTTCGGAGGACATTTTTGTCATTTTACTACCAGGGACCATTTATGATGTTTTGTCTTATTTAAAAAAAAGAAAAAAATATTATTTAACTCTCTCTCTCTCAAGAAATGAATAAATTCATATGAACAAATTGATATGAACAAAGCTAAACCCACATGATATGTTACTGTAAATAAATCCAGAAAGAATACACAACAACCAAAACATATGTAAACCACACACACCAAACGATCTGAACCGAGCATAAAAGTCTACCATCGCAGTCTAGCACCATTACCACCACCATCGCTCGCCACCACCGCCCATAGCCACAATGCACCACGAGCACCACCAATAAACACAATTTGTCGGCATCTTTTTCATGAACACCAAACCCCCTTCATCATTTTCATTACCATTTACCACCTGTGAATATCATCACCTAAAGAATGAAGAAGAAGGAAGAAGAAAAGGAGTGTGTCTTCTTAAATAAATCCAAACCATTTTATTGGAATTTTGTCCCTGGTTTTCCATTTTCTGAGAAAACTAGCTTTGCCCCTGATGTTCATTTATCTGCTTCAGATCTAATTCTTATGCCATCACAAGATTCACGGATTCCTGTCGGTACAATCAAGCGAGAATGGAAACCAAAACCAACAAATTCTACTCATGTTCAAGTTCAAGCGCCTGAAACCTCTGATTCCATTATGATGCCAATTATTCCAGTTGAACCCCACTCTTTGTTAACATCAAAATCGAGCTTGATCAAAAATCAATATTAACACACTGAAATCAAAAAAAATGTTCCTAACATAGTGATTCCACCAGACAAATGCAATCAAAACGTGAGCATATCAAATTAACACACCTGCAAATCAAATCTTGACCAGATACAAACCAGATTAGAACGAAAGAGATGATGCCTTGTAGTCGCAGGAGGAACAAGAGCCAACGCACGCGCATACACACATACAAGTGTAGAGGACTTTAACCCACTAGGGAGTTGATTTTAGTTCTGAATTCACATACGCACACACAATTTCATCGGAGCCCTTCGTTTTCTCGAAACTACACTCGAGTTCGTTGCTTGCAAAATTGATATCTTCAAGACTGATTATGTGGTCAAGGATGTTAATCGAAACATCAAACTCTCGATTTCTTGTCACTAAGGATGAAGACGAAGGGTAGGGGCGGAGATAGGTCCGGTGAGGAAGAAAACGGGTTGGGGGTTAGGTTATATATATATATATATATATATATATATATATATATATATATATATATACAAAAAAATATCATAAATGGTCCCTGTGGTAGTGAAATAATGGAAATGCCCTTCGAATATTATAATTAAATAATAGTTAACGGCCAAAAGCTAACGAAGTTAGCAAAAATGACCGGAACTATCTGTGAGGTTTTTTGAACTTAGGGACTAAACTTCAGATTTCTGAAAACCACGTGGACCATTTATGAAGTTTTGTCATAAACTAATTCACATCGCAATTATAATTACTTGGTCTTAGTTATTCAACGATCAACAACATGTTATTTAATTTAATGTGGGAGAATGTAGGCAAACGATAAACCAATCGAAGGTATATATTAATGATTTCTCGGTCAAAGATAAATCTACACCCGAAAACCCCAGGCGCTTGATCCTAAAATTCAGTTATTCAATTAACCAAAACGGAAAAGGCTAGCTACGATGATAATTGAGAAACTAAAATATAACAAGGTCCAACTGCCCTTGTATGATTCTTGACTGACTGCTGCCATCTAACAAGATAGAGAGCAGCCATGAAAATATATTTGATGGGAGAAATTAATCTTAGCTGTTCATCTACTCATCTGTCCCTGATAGATGGGACAATACCAGTGCACTATTGAAGTACCTTCATGTTATCTTAAAGAAAGTTTCTAACTATTAAGACGATCTGGACGAATGCATGTGTAGATAGATATTTTAAAGCAAGAACAAGATAGAACAAGGAATTGTGTTCTATGTGGGTTTAGATATCCTCTAAACTTTTGGATCCATGCTTTCGTATAGGTTCGATGAATACTACAAATTATTCTAGCCACAGGGATTGGGAAGATTCCATGATCCAACTCCTTTGATTGCATAAAAAATTACACAAATACAATCATAGAGACCTTCAAAAAAATCTTTTTGTCTTCTTAATTTTTATATCAATATATGCTCAATTTTGTTTCTATGATTCTCCTTTCTCTATAAAAAATATGTAACATCGTTCCACTTTCAGTCACAAGCAAGAAAACCGTTACTTAAGATGGCCAACAGTTTGGTTTTCATAATTACATGTTTCTTCATTCTCCTCTATCCTTCAGCTTTAGCAAACCGAACACACTTCTCATGGAACGAAACATCTGCAGTTTTTTCTGCTTCAAATGCCGATGGCATCTGTCAGTCAATGGTGCAGCCACGTGGTTACACTTGTGAAGAACACAAAGTGACAACAAAAGATGGTTATATACTAAGCTTACAAAGAATACCATTAGGACGCGTAGGTGGCAAGAAAGGCAACATGATCCCTGTTCTTTTGCAACATGGTCTTCTAATGGTTAGTAATTAGTTACTCCTTCCATTAATTACATTCATATATAAATTTTTGTTTCCTTTAATCTTAATCATTCTTACGAATCAGGATGCTATAACATGGCTGTTGAGCCCTCCTGATCAATCATTAGCTTTGGTTTTAGCCGACAATGGATTTGATGTATGGCTTGTTAGTTCACGAGGAACCAAATATAGCCGTGGTCATGTATCTCTCAATCCTGATAGTGAGGTTAGTTGCCAATAAGTACATAAATATCTTTTTGCGACAGTTTTTTTATTGAAGGTGTCACTAAAAATGAAATCTAGGCTTATTGGGACTGGACATGGGATGAGTTAGCAGCATATGATCTTCCAGCTACATTTCAATATGTTCATCGTCAAACAGGCCAGAAACTGCATTATGTTGGTCACTCGTTGGTAAGAGTTCAATCTTTATATAACATTGATGTTATCTAATTATTATAGTAAATTACATATAACCATGGTTTAACTTTTTGTTTTTAATTTTTGCTTATTAATTTTTTAGGGAACTTTGATGGGAATGGCTGCATTTTCAAAAGGAGAGCTTGTAAGCATGACAAGATCAGCTGCATTGCTTAGTCCCATTGCTTATGTAGGTCGGATCACGTCCCCATTAGGCAGAACTGCTGCTGAAAACTTCCTAGCTGAAGTAAAGACTCCAAATCTTGAATATTTTATCAAAATTTAATAACCTTTTATAGTAATATTCTGACTGTTTTCTGTATAACAGACTTTAAGATGGCTGGGACTTCATGAGTTTAATCCAAAAGGGTAAGCTTTGGTGATTTGCGAAAGTTTAACGCTTGTTGCATATTTATTCATACACAGATCTTTGTTTATGTAATCAGGGATGCTGTAACCAAGCTTCTCAAGAAAATATGCGTGAATCCACTCATCGATTGTACCAACTTGTTGAATTCATTCACAGGTATCATAAATAAATAAATTAAAAACAAGTTTTGGATTCGAAAACAGTAAGATTAAAGAACTAAAATTCGAGTCTTTTATGGGTTTAGGCAAAAACTGTTGCTTGAAGCCTTCGATAGTCGACGTTTTTCTAGACCATGAGCCTCAGTCAAGCTCCACGAAGAACTTGATTCATATAGCACAAAGTAGGTTTTCTATTTTATATTCGTTGATTGTATTGTGATATTATCAACATGCATGAAATGATCTTTATTTATGGATCGAGTTTTTGAAGTGATAAGAGAAGGAACAATTAGTATGTATGATTATAAGGATGGGGGACAAAACAGGAGGCGATATGGGAAGTCAACACCTCCAGTTTACAACATAGCCAACATACCTAAGAACCTTCCACTTTTCCTGGGCCATGGTGGTGCTGACTCGCTTTCTGATGTTGAAGATGTTAAGCATTTGTTGAAAATACTCAAGGATCATGATAAGAACAAGATTGTGGTTCAATTTAGGAAGGATTATGCTCATGCTGATCCTGTTATGGGTACAAATGCTAGACAAGTTGTGTATGAACCTCTTATGGCCTTCTTCAAGGTCCACATTTGATTTGAATCTTTGTTTGTTGTTCAAACGTGTGTAATTTCGAGCTCATTTGTTGTTAATTTCATAATTTGTACCATTATTTGATTGTGAAATGGGGTAGTTTTAATTTTTAGAGTTGGAATGGTTTAACTTGATATATACTTTTGTTCTAGGATAACAGCCAATTATAATTCTGAATCCCAAAATATATGCAAAAGAGTTCGAATATAAATAAACCAGAACTTTTTAAATATAACATTATCCCATTATATGACAACTTTGGTTAAAGGTTATTATTTGATTATAAATTTGTCCCCTAAAGTTGCAATAATCACATGAAAGAGCACAAGTCCAAACGCATCATTAATAATTGTAAACAAGACCGAACGGTTTATTCCATTTGTACTAAATGATAAATGATTTAAGCAAATGTCATTGGTGTTGTTTATTTGAATAAAAGAACAATGTAGCCAAAGACAAACAAAAAACAAACCTAGAGAAAAAAAATACATTGTAGAAAAACAAGCATCTTCAATCTATTCATTTCTTCGATGTTTCATAGAAAAATGTTTGTTCTTGTGTAGGAGTAACTATGAGCAGCAAAATTATATCCGGTGACCATAAAATTAACATAATCAAATTCAGTGTATGGATGCTTAGCAGAAACAAATAGATCATCACAGTGAACGACAGCCGAACGCATAGGATGTTCATCGCAATCTTGAGGCTGAATGTTAGAGCTCTTCTTTCGAGAAATCACCTTCTTGAACAATTTCTTCTTTTGAGAAATCACCTTCTTCAACCATTTGATAATATTCATATTTTAGAAAGCAAAAATGGAAAGAAATAGGGAGAGGATATAGTTGGTGTGAGGGGTTTCAAGGAAGATGTGGAGTGAATGCAATCCTTAAAACCGGAGGAGGTAATGTTGATGTAATCAATAACTTTGTCCTCTTCTTGAATTTAGGCTAATAAAAGTAGAACTTTTCGGACGTTTTGTTGTTTGTATATTGTAGAGAGCAGGAATGATAAAATCCATGATAATGATATAATAAGATGAATTTATAAAAATAGCTAAAATCTTTGACTTAGCCATTTTTAGCCAAAAACTAATATACTATCATTTTTAGTCATCAAAATCGCAGACAATTAAAGTTATATATGGTTTTACATATATATTATCTGTGAATTCACCATAGTTGGCTAATGATATTCTCGGTTTTCAATTCATGTGCCCAAAGTATATTAACCTCAAATTTTGGAAATAACCATCATTTTCATAATTTCATGTTGAAGAAATCATCTCTACTCTCTCTAATGGCTCAAGAACAATATTCTCCGAAAACTTTATAAGTTATGAAATATTTCATGTTTTATTTGTCTTTTAATAGGTTTTATACATTTTTGATAAGTTTACATATGATTTTGGTTAAAAAATGGAGGTGTTCGAATTTTTTTAGAGGAAATCACATGTAACAGAGGTTAAATCGCAAGTGTTCTAATCCTATTTGTGAATGTACAAGTCACTGATGAATATGTCCCGCATTAGTGATTTCTACATTTGTAAAAAAACACTAAAATCAAATGTCAAGCAAGAGGAAAGCACATGTGGCTCTTAGCCATCTACAATGTAACACCCATACGTTTGAAACAACCATTTCATCATCACATTTATACAAATATCATGACCTACATTCATGCTAAAATTCGGTTTTATAAAAACAAACATTCATAAATTTTATCAGAGTTTACAAACTCATTAGTGTTACTGTGATATAACCCAACCTTCTTGATTTCATCATCATGAACACTTTGAATCTTCATGACTTCAACAAGTCATACAGGATAAAACATAGGGAATCTTGTTCCCTATAACACACACTTTATAGATAAACCGCATACATGACGATTCCATCCCAATAGTTGTCATATTATCCCTTAATGGTGTCTTTTATAATGTTTCCCAAAGTAAACCTTTTTACAATATTTCCGAAGGAATCACATTTCAATCTCTCTTAGAAACCACATATTAGTATTTCGTAGGAGTCTTTATCTCTGCTCCCGAAGGAACCTTTAAACAATATTCATGTAGGAATCATATAACAGTATTATAGTCAAGGTTGTTAAAATTCCGATTTTGATCTTAAGATCTTACGATTTTAAGATCCTACAAGTCAAAAACGATTTCGATCACACTATGATCCTGATCTCACCTCAGTAGTTTTGTTATATAGCCAAGTATCATAAATTCGTCTATTCAAGTTAAAATAGAGCATCAAAAGTTGCAAGAGGTCTTGTAAACCATCACCATTTCATAAATACATCTTGAATTAGGCATATGTGACATCCCCAAATTTACGACCATTTTAAAACTTTTTATTTATGCCTATTTTAAATCAAAGTGATCTTTATAAATGCGGAATTTGTTCCATTAAAAGCATTTTTGAAGAGAATGTTTTTCATTGATTATTAAAACTTGGGATGCCATAACTGATACAAAATATAAGCATAAACGGGTCTTACATCGTTATTCCAGCAAACTACGAACTCCATTAATCTTTCAGCAGATAATTACATTATCTATCAGTACATTCGTATCGCTACCTGTGATACAACGAAGCTGAGTGTGTCAGGTTGGGAAACCTGGTGAGCACGTAGGGTTTTCAACCCACAATATTATATGCTTATAATTATATACTCTTCATCATTTAAATATCCTAGTTACCCCATTCCCTCTATTCTCTCTTCCTAATCTTAGATTGATGATTTCAAGAGATTTTTTCTAAAGGATCATTGATAGTAGTCATCTATATTTCCATAAATGATAGGGCACGACAGTATAACAATACTTTTAGTCATGGCATGGGAGTACAAATAGTACTTTTAGATAAGCACGACAATATAATGGTACTCTGGACAGGCACGACAGTACGAATAGTACTTTTGGATAAATACGACAAATCTCGACTTATTGTTTCGCACAACTCTGAGTAACTTATCACAACCATTATCTTACACAACCGTATCACATCCTCTCATTTACAGTTTTACACAACCTATTACTACCCAACCATATTATTAAGTATAACATACAATTAGATCGAGTACCAATCATATCATATTGTGAAAATATATTAGTCACGGCAAAAACAGCGCACATAACATTTAAGGATTTAGAATACTTGTATCTATGTTTAACTTGAAAGTAATTATGCACTCACTTGATAAAAGTGGATGATTGCTGATTTTGGCAACGCTTCGCTTCGTACTTTGAAAAGACCTAGACGCATAAAGTACTAAGCCTTAGTCTAGTTTCGTAAACCTGGTGACTATAATAATTATAGTCTATATTCCTCACTAATCCGAATTTCTACATCAATATCTATCAAGTAAGGATCAACTAGGAAGGACAGTTGGGAGGCGAGATCATTTCGGCATATAGTCTTTTTGAAATCCAACAACCAAGCCAACGTGACCATTATAGACACCTATTCCGTAAGTAGATCAATCAGTATAACAACTTGGAATTACTGGTAAATCTTATTTATAGGTTCATAATAACGACTTATGACCATAAATATAAGTTACACTAAAAGCAAAATAGTGTAGCTTAATTTATAGAGGTTTTAGCAAAAACCGGGAAAAACACACGGACAGATCTCCAAAACCGAAAGCTCCATTTTGTCGGGATCCTAGCTACACTAGAGCCTTGCTAAAATACCCTAAGAAACTAGGAAAAGTCGGACCGAAAGCAGGGAAAACGTTTGAGAGAGAATAAGTGTGGAATGTCTGAGAAAATGAGAAATTTCGAGGGGTATTTTATGGATCAGGGGCACACGCCGCACACGAACCATCGGCACGCCGCACCTTGCTGGTGACGCTGCTCCTTTGGATGCTCGCCATGTGTCGCCGTATCTGTGGTCCACCTCACTCCTTTTAGAAGGCTGCCACGTGGCTATTTCTTATGGTGCCACGTTTCACGTCTACATTATGCTACATCATCATGTCTCAGAAGAGAGGGGTTGTCCTGACATCATCATGTCCCAAAGAGTGCCACGTTATCACGCGTGCACTGCGCGCGTGTGAATTTTCAGATTTTCAAAATTGCATAAGTTCTTCATACGAGCTCCGTTTTTTACGTTCTTTATATTCACGCATAGCTATCGACAAGATCCACAACTTTCATTAAGGTCTCAACATCTAATTTTTGCTCTAACAAAAATTCATATTTAGACCGGTTTAGACTGTTAAAGTCCGTGCAGAATTCATAACTCCTTCAGACAAACTCCGTTCTCGATTGTCTTTACATCGGAAGGTTCATATTCACGAGATATTTAATTCTTGCTAATATTGTTTTGGCTAACAATCAACCGGTTAGAATTTCGATTTATGTGCCCATACTACTACGCTGAAACTTCCAAAAATCATAACTTCCTCCCACGAAGTCAAATTTGAACGTTTTCTATATGCAAGCTCTCGGTTTAACGACTACTATGACTTTCGTTTAGATCACTTAGGCTAAAAAGTATTTTATCAAAATTCACTTTTTACGATACGCAGAGCTCTGTTGGTTAACTGCGAAACTTCGAAGAAGCATAACTTCTTCATGCGAAGTCGGATTTCAGTGTTCTTTATATGCACGAAATCCTTGTCACATATACTATAAGTTTTGTTAAAATTATTTATCCTAGATAATCTTATATTAAAAATTCATTTTTAACACTTATTTTATCTTAATTGACTAGCCCGAATGTGCGGGTGTTACAATTATCTCCCCTTAGGATGATTACGTCCCAAAATCATCAACAAAACAGGGCTTGTATTATGACTTTGTGCGTTACCTTTCCATCCTAGATAATAACCGTATCTCTTGTGTCTTTTCTAACTCTTCTTGAATGTTGACAGTGCTTAATCTTGCACCTGCTCTTCCTTCTAATTTCGATCTCCATTGGAGGCTCCGACTCCTTCTAAAATTGACTTAACCTAAGATAAGGTCTTTTACTTTGACTTATCGTAAAAGACCG